ACTCCAGGATCATGACCTGAGCCGAAGACAGTCATTTAACCAACTGAGCCACCCAGGCACCCCCGACCATCTGAGCTTCTTAAAAGCACCTCAAACGCAGCACAGGCAAACGTGGCTTCGTGTCCTGCACCTTCTCCTGTACCTGCCATCAGCGCTGTTCCCCTTCTGGTGTTCCTTTCCTCAGAAAACAGCACCTGACCCGCCTAGTTCCTCCTACCAGACACCGCTCTCCTCTAATCTGTCACCCAAGCCCATCGATGCACAGCCGGTATCTGCCTTCTGGTCCGTTTCTCTCCCCCCAGTCTCCCCACTCTCTCCTGCCTCACGTAATGCCAGCCCCCTGCCCCGCTCACCATGCTCTGGCCAGACAGGCTTTTTCAAGTTCGGAAAAGAATCATGTTGGGGGCCTTGGTACTGTGCCTGAAATGTCTGCCTCCCCACTCCCTCCCCTCTTCACCGGTGGATGTCCCTCCCCTTTCAGGTCCCACCTCCTCCACTGTCCTGTCCCGAGAGCAGCCCTCCCGGCCGCATCAGAGGCGGTGAAGTGTCCCCTGACCGACAGCCCACAGCTGCGGGAGGACAGGGTGGCCATCAGCCAGGTGCAGGCTGCGTGCCAGGAAGGACCCGCTCGCTGTGTCTCGGGAGAAACGGACCCGATGAGAGGCAGTACGGGGAGCCCCTCGGAGCTCTCTGGCCTACCGTCGGACTCATTTACCAAGACGTGTTTGCTCCATTACAGGTTGGAAAGAACCCTAAGAGCTGGGACACTGGTTCGCTTTCCTTCTGCTGACTACACTCTGCGCCGAAGATCAGCATTCTCTGTCACCACAGTGACTTCCATTACATGGGTCAGCAACAGAGGAGGCAAAACTTCCTCAGATCTTCACATCCGAAGCGGGGCTAGCTCTCTAGGATAGGCACGTGCCCCGGAAACCCTGCATTCTTTTCAACTGCTCGAGCCCAACGTGTCCTCCATTTTAGACACGCCACGGAGAAGGTGACAGGCGAGACAGGAGATCAGCATTTTAGCAAACTCATCCATCTTTAGTTGGGTACACAAATTACATATATAAATAGGCTGATCTAAGAACTGAATCACCTTAGAACTGCTATTCGTTTTTTATCAAAAAAAAAAAAAAAAAAGAAAAATCCAAGAAAATTTAGTGAACTGCAAGGAATTTTAGTTACAGCCCCCACTAAGAGAGATGCGGCCCCACGATCTTTAGTACTTCCTCGGATCCAGTATGTCACTTACGGGGGATAAGGATGGATGACAGACTGAATTACCCTTAAGCCTTTTTTAATTGGAAATTCAAGGGTGATAAAAAACAAAACTCGATTTCTTAACACAGAAAAACCCTGGTGTCCCAGTGGCAAGAGGCACCCTCACCCAGGCCGGCTCGTGCACTGTGGAGCCCTGCCCGTGAGAACAGAACACCGAGAACGAACGAGGAAGCTGAACGGGCCCGACCGCCAAGAGCCCGGAGGAACATGGCTTCTTCCCAGTATAAGAATTCTCTTCTGGCTGCCTATTATCAGGCAAAGATTTAAGGACTTTCTGTGTATTATCCCATCTAATCCTCCTGACAACCTTTCGAGGTGAAGCTCATTGCTATTTCCATTTTACACACTGAGGCAAAGGGAAACTGAGGCAGAGGGCGCCAGCTTGTCCAGGGTCACACCGTAAGTGCAGAGCCAGGATTCTCACTTCCTCTTTTTTTTTTTTTTTTTAAGATTTTATTTCTTTATTTGACAGTGAGAGAGAGAGATCACAAGTAGGCAGGCAGAGGGAGAGGGAGAAGCAGGCTCCCCACTGAGCAGGGAGCCCGATGTGGGGCTCGATCCCAGGACCCTGGGATCATGACCTGAGCCGAAGGCAGACGCATAACTAACTGAGCCACCCAGGTGCCCCAGGGTTCTCACTGTCTTAACAAAGACGACTGTCAAGTTGCTCACACAGATGTCCTCCTTGCGCTTCTGAGTTAGAGGTGAAACCTGAAAAAAGTTCAAATGAACTCTTCTAAATCGTGAAGCCCCCTCTGTGACGTCCCTCCCTTTATCCTTCCCGTGCATCCCTAAAGCAGGTTCCCTTAAAAAAGAACAATATTAACCCAAACTTTCCCCTAAATAAGAAAACCACATATTTAGACATAATCCAGTGGCATCCCAGACATGTTCTAAAAACAGAATGTTCTAATAAAACCGACTGCACTGTTCACCTTGCAACACTTAACATTTAAATGGGTCAAACTCCTTCAACCGGTCCATGGTGAAGGAGAGTGTCCTAACCCAGAACAAGGGCAAAATCTCCACCACGCTCCTCAGAGGCCAGTGTCTGCCACCAGCTCTGTCGGACGCTCCGGCTCCCAGAACCGTCCAAGTAGATGCCTGGGATTGGCACAGACTCACAGCCCACGACACAGAGTAGAACAGAACGTGGGCAGCTGAGACTCCAGCTCACACACTGCGGGGGGGGGGGGCGGGATTCTCCCTTTATGTTTCAGTGTTCTCCCTCGCAGAGTGGAGAAAATAACCACTGCCTACAAAGGAAAGTTGTAAAAACGGAGCTGAGCGCTACGTGGAGAGTATACTTTTTTGCTTTTTTTAAAAAAAGATCAATGGGATGTAAATTGCGGCCGTCGCTATGGAAAACATCACGGAAGTTCTTTAAAAAATTAAAAATAGAACTGCTGTACGATTCAGCAATTCCACTTTTGAGTATATACCCGAAGGAAATGGAGTCAGTTCCTAGAAGAGAGATCCCCACCCCCATGTTCACTGCATTACTGACAACAGGGAAGACACGGAAACAACCCAAGAGTCCATCAACAGATGAATAAAGAAAATGTGGTATCCATACACACAACACACCACGGAATATTATGCGGCCATGAGAAAGAAGGCAATGCTGTCCTGTGCGACAACATGGATAGACCCTGAGGGCAGGTGCTGAGTGCGATGAGTCAGACAGAGGAAGACAAACAGGCTCTGTGATCTCACTTATATGTGGAATCTAACAAAACCAAACTCACAGAAACAGATGGGTGATTGCCGGGCGCGGGGGGGGGGGAGGGGAAATCGGGGAAAGTGGCAAAAGGTACAGACTTGTAGTTATAAGACAAGTAAGTCCTGAGGATGTAATGTGCAGCATGGTGACTAGCTAACCTTTCTGTCTTACATATTTGACAGCTGCCAGGAGAGTAGGTCTTAAAAGTTCTCATCGCAAGAAAAAAATGAGTTAACCACGTGAGGTGACGGCTGTTAACTAGACTAACTGTGGTGATCACTGTGCACTACATATATTATATGTATCAAATCATTATGTTGTACACTTTAAACTAATGCAAAGGGATATGTCAATCATAGCTCAGTAAAGCTGGGAGAAAAGAAAGAGACCCTGTGGTAGCAGGAAAAAAAAAAAGCATTCCAGAAGCCTAGGTTGTTTCGCTACCGTGCTACCATCATATTAATACTGAAACGTGCCTTCATTTTTTTTTTTTAAAGATTTTATTTATCTGAGAGAGAGAATGAGAGAGAGCGAGCACATGAGAGGGGGGAGGGTCAGAGGGAGAAGCAGACTCCCCACCGAGCAGGGAGCCCGATGCGGGACTCGATCCCGGGACTCCAGGATCATTGACCTGAGCCGAAGGCAGTCGCTCAACCACCTGAGCCACCCAGGCGCCTGAAACGTGCCTTCGTTTATAGTGACGCAGCAAGCCCTTCCTTCCCTCCATCCAGATCCGACCAGCCCTGCAAGTCCCACTCTCTCGGGACATTCTTTCACACTCCTTACTCAAGGACTGTTGGCAAGACCTCGGTCCACGTCACTGAACCTCTCTGCCTTAGTCTCCACATCTGAGGAATGGGGAAAACAGTAGAATTGCTTGAAAGCAATTGTTGTTGTGAGGAGTAGATGGGGAGGGAAAAGGCATGTAGAGTGTTTGGCTAGCATATGGCGCATGGTATGCACTCAAGTCCTTGAAATTCTTACAGCTATCAAATCTACTCTCGTGCAGATGAGTAAACAGATTGAAGGCTTGCTCAGGGTTACCCAACTGGTAAATGCCAGACTTGAGACTGAAATGCAAGATTTCACCACAGAATGACCGACTGCCCCACCAGTTCCTAGCTTGTTGGCCACTGTGTGTCTGAATCCTGTGGCTTTCACCGTCTGCACCATGGCACTTGGCCCCTGCTCATGTTTTCCTGAGCTGCTTGGCAGCTGACCTAATCCTGACTTCCCCCCACCCCCACTCAAGTAAGCTTCTTGAAGGCAAGGTCTGCCTCATGTTTAGAAAGTTTTAGCAGTTTTAGGGGTGGGGGAGGGGGAGGAGGAGAGGTTATAGGCAATGGTCTTGGGTAGATAATAAATATTTGTTAACCCAAAAAGGTACACAGAGAATAGCCTCTTTACTCAGTGACACTTCTGACATGAGCTAATGGGGCTAATAAGGTGGAAGATGATGGTGCAGAGAAACCATTTTGCTCCCCGTGCCAGAAATCCTTTAGGGCTTACGGGTAATGCGTTTACAGTTTGTTAAATGAATCTGAGGCTGGGACGAGCCCGCGTGAGCGTGTAGTGACGAGAGGAACGGTACCTGGATGTCCCGTGAGCGCTCGTAGGCCTGGTAAGCCACCTTCTCCTCGATGCTGGCAAGGCCCTGCTTCAGGTTGGCGGTCTCGTGCTGATGCAGGTCTGTCAGGTCATGGAGCTGGTCTTCCAGGTGCTCATACCTTTGCAAAGAGAGGAGCTGATTCTGAGTGTGACACTCCAAATGCCTCCTTGTTCTCAGTCCCTGGAAGACTATGTTTCCGAAAGAATACGTCTAGGGGTGCCAGGGTGGCTCAGTTGTTAAGCGTCTGCCTTCGGCTCGGGTCATGGTCCCGGGGTCCTGGGATCGAGCCCCGCATCGGGCTCCCTGCTCGGCGAGCCTGCTTCTCCCTCTCCCTCTCCCTCTGCCTCCTGCCCCCATGCTGTGCTCTCTGTCAAACAAATAAATAAAATTTAAAAAAAAAGACTACGTCTAGCTGTGGGGAACACGCTTTTGGAGAACACTGAATTCCAGCTCTAGGAAGGTGGTCTCTGCCATCTTAACTTCTCTGTCCTCACTCCTGAGGTGACACGCATACCAAATTCGGCATTTCCACCCACATCGGACAAGCACCTTCACTGGTTGCAGTTGATGACAGAACAGACCTGACACGTTCACCAAGGCTGGTCAAGAGACAGGGCTGCCTGGCACCCCAGGGCTCCCCCCTCTCCTGCCTGCACAGAGCCTTCTGGTTCACGGGCACGGCTCTCACACACCAGAGCCCACGAGGAAAGAACCAACTTCTCTACTAGAGCCAATTCCACCATTTCCCAATGTAACCTCTAATTCTGAAAACATGTTTCAGTTCTTGGAACTCAAGTGCCGATGAAAAATTAAGCTCATTACAAATTATAAATAGCTTATCAGGTGGCATTTCCAGAAGTCCAAATCTTAAGTAACAGAAGAACAAAGATTTCCATTCCCACCTCCCATTTTCCTCACAGAAGAGGGACTGGTCTTATTATATTCAAAAACTTATAATGTTTATTTGAAAACAGGAAGCACTGTTTGGGGAATGCCTTAGTCTGAAATGACTTCTCTCAATGTCAGCGTTAGGGGCTTACAGAGGTCACCTGATAGAGTCATTAAAGGGCGAGAGAGAGAAAGAGGGAAGGAGGGAGGGAGAGAGATTGTGAGATCATATGTCAATTATACCTCAGGAAAAAAAGTAAGACCAAAAAAATTTAATGCAGATTTAATGATTATTCTCAGCTAGGACTACTTCATAGGTATCCAATGTTGGTGTAAAAGCCTTTTAAAGATCTCTTATAGCAAGCAATACAGTGGCTAACTCCGAAAGATCACAAACATAGCTATATGACAAACAAGAATAAAAACTGTCCTACATTTATGTAAATGGATATTTGTGACGGGATAAAATTTGGATCCAAAGAGTACTATATGCCAAACTCTTCAGATGGAATTAAAGTCAATATTCTCTGGAAAACCTGTGACTCAATAATAGTTATGTGACAAAGAAACCAAAGTCAAAGATGTATGCTGAAAGTTTTAAAAAACTGCTGAATAAAACATAAGAGCTGGAAAAAAAGCCACATTTCTAAATTAATACCATCTAGGAGATATAAAATGTGTAAGTAAAATTTAAAGTTTAATCTTACAATATGTAATGGGCATTGAATTTTTTTAATCTACATTTTTATAAGTTAACATATTCATTTTGTCCAAAAAAAAAAAAAAGAAATTAACTTTTGGGGGCACCTGGCTGGCTCGGTCAGTGGAATGTACGACTCTTGATCTCAGAGTTGTGGGTTCAAGCCTCACGTTGATGTAGAGATAACTTAAAAAAGAAAGAAAGTCTTAAAAAAAAAACTTTGGGGAATCTTTTTACTGGGGAAATGGTGGAAAATCACTTTTTATTAATATTTTTATTAATAAGTTAGAAGCACACAGAAGCCAGCCTACAAAATACCTTTTAAAATCAGCTAATATAATTCTCAAGATTTGAATTTACATTCTACTCTGAGTATTTCTTTTGAAGACTCTTCATTTAAGGAGAAAAGTTCAATGTGCAAAATATAGTATGTAAAAAAATGTGTACTACATGAAGACTTTAAGATTGATGTAGCAAAGAAAATCGACCTTGTTGAACAATGCAGTGGGGTTTTTTACCTGACAGTTACTACAGAGGAAAATAAAATACAGATCTGTGAATTAGTGTAATGAAACTGCATCCCAGAAGTCTACTGAGTCAGGAGCTCAGCGTGCACGAGTCATAGACCACACAGTGACATTTTAAAAGATTCACACAACTTTCTCTAAAGCGTCAAACTGTAAGTCACGAGTTATAAAGCTTAGCACCATGAGGTAGGGAAAAAACTACTGATTCTTAACTTTTTTGATCCATATCCACATTCGTGGAAAATGCAACCATCAGTGTATCACTTTCAAGAAGGCAATCTGGCGGCAGTAAGTCATGCTTCTGAAAGAACTGCAAGAGAATAAGCTGAAATACCTGTATCTTTCCTCTTGCAGCGTCTGAGAAATAAAACCGTATTCTCTCTTGAACTGCACTTTGAGCGCTTCGATGTCCTCAGCCAGCTGAGCCTGCGTGTCCTTGATCTCCCTCAGCTCCTCCAGGACCACGGTCAGCTTGCCCTGGCTGTCCAGCGCGCCGGCTCCACTGGCCCCGAAGGACTGGTTCCCGTTACTGTCCGCGGAGCCCGACGTGCCGCTTGAACACTCGTCGTCGCTGCCGTACTTGGGTTTGTTCACGATGGTGGCGCTGCCCCCGTAGGCCCGGGGACTCCCCTCGGGCCGAAACTCCTCTAAGGAGTTCTTCAAGTGCGCGATGTTGTCGGCGCTGCCGAACTTATTCCGGATCAGGTTGGCGAACTCTCTGGACTTGTTGAAGACGAACACGGGCGGAGTGAGGGACACGCCTGGCATGCCTGACTTCCCGCACTCCGGGCCGGGGGGAGCAGTTCGAGACTTCGCGGAGGCATCTCTCAGAGAGTGGAGGTTGTCTTTGGAAATGTCCTTGGAGCTTCTGGAGGCTCCGTTCTGCTCGAGCTCCCTGAGCTTTCTGTGATACTGCTCTAACTTCTTCTGGAGCTGGGCGATGGAGTGAGCGGACTTCTGATTCTTCTTCTCGAAGACCTGTTTGATGCGGCCGGCCTGCTGCTTATCCGCACTGCTGACCAGTTTCAGATACTCCGCAACATTCCCATCGCGGGACGTCTGCTCAATTTTTATCTGCTCTGTCACCTTCAGGATTTTTTGTTTCAGGCTATCTGCACTGAGTTTGACCTTGTGGAAGTCCAGGATGCCATCTGGTACATCAAAGTTGAGGTTGGTGTCTGACCCCCCTCGGCGAATGTTCGGGGGCAGGCTTAAGGTATTCATGTCATGACGTTCTACCTGCAAGAGACAGGGAAGAAGCACTTTAAGGTTGGAAGTCAAAGGCATAGTTTTTGTGAGAGAATCTGTGCACACACAACAGACATACTTCAGGTCCCAGATTTTTAAACTGCAAGTATTCAGGGGCACCTGGGGGGCTCAGGCGGTTGAACGTCAGACTCTTGGTTTCGGCTTGGGTCATGATCTCAGGGTCATGAGATCAAGCCCTATGTGGGCCCCGCAATCAACAGGGAGTCTGCTTGAGATTTTCTCTCCCTCTCCCCACTCGTGTGTGCGCGCACTCTCTCTCTCTCAAATAAATACATAAATCTTTAAACTGCAAGTATTCATGAGATAAAAACTCCCTATACTATCCTCCCCAGTTGAATAGAAGGCAGTCTAACTCCGTCCTGCATCCATGTGTACTAACTGTGAGATGCTGGTCTCCCAGGGTGTCCGATGCTTTGTCTGATTAGATGACAACTGCCAGTTGCCAGGGTAGAAAATGCATAATGGCACGAGGTTACCAATCAGTGCTAGTTTCCCAAAATGCCCAGGTAACTGGGGGGTCTGCCACGCCCCATTCACTGTGAATTGCAGCACTGTGGGAAATGCGCCCAATTCAGAACCCAATCATGTAACAGAAGAATGAGAAAATAGTTTCAGCAGGTACATTCATCAACACAAGAAATTATTTTCTTTTTAATGGAATCATTAAACAGATGTGACAGGAGATTAATTTTACTGAGTAATACAACTGTATTTAGATGTGGAAATGAATAACCCCCCAACCACAACTGAAGTGATTTAAAAACAAGAACAAGTGGTAATACGAAGTGAAGTGGCTTTCTCACCGAAGGGCCACCACCTGGGGAAGAGGTGCAAAGTATCACTGAGCACCGTGGCGAGGAGCGTTAACTAGTTTGTGCTCCAAAAGGGAAAGGCAAAGGTAGTCTGGGCGCTAGGTACTATGGATGTTTGTATGTGTCATCCTGTTCAATCCTCACTACCATGCCAGGTAGAGACTACATTAAACCCATGTACGTACAAACTGAGATGGCAAGAGGCAGGATTTGAACCCAAGTCACCCTAACTGGGTTCTCTTTCTACGTCAGGACACCCTATCAAGATGTCCCCAAAGGACTAAAGACAAGCCTTTGTAGGGTCTGAATGCAATCTCTAAACAAAGGTTCGTAACATCTCAACCAAAGCAGCTTACTTGTCAAGTTAACTGCCCTTTGATTAAAATAATGCCTTGACACAGAGTCTCAATGGAGACCAAACAGGAGACAATATTAGGCACAAGTTATCTTGAGTTTCAGGGAAGAGTAGGCAGAAACAGCAAAATATTAATAAGATACTAACACATCTTCCCCTGCCCAAGTGACCCAGACTTGAATGCATTCATTTCCAACAATGAAGTATTAACACTTTGTCCCACGAAAAATCCTACCCGGTGCTTTTTCCCAGAGAAGGGAGCCCAATGGCATGGTGGGACACAATGCCAGGTTGGTGAGTCAGTCCTCCTACACAACTCACAAAAGTTTGTTAACATTATTTCTTGGCCCCTCTCCTCCAACACACAATTTTGCTACAAGTAAGAAACACTGGGTGTTTTTATCTGGCAGAAGAGCATCACGTAGGAAAGGCTGGAAGGAAATAAATACCAAATCACTTGTAAGACTAGAAAAAAGGATAAAAAAATTGTGATGTCACCTGGTCAAAATGGAAGGATGGGTGTAGGGAATAAAGAAAGTATAGGATCATCATCTTCAAGTCCCAGAGAGATGACCATGGGGAGCTCAAGGAAACTAGGTACATGGCTCGCTAGTGAACCCAAACAGGAATGGGTTCAAACACAGTAACAAAGAATGCACAAAATCTAGAAAATGATTATTTGGGGCACACAGGGCAATCTGTGGTAACTGTACAATCAAGAAGCTACAAATTTGATTTCACTGGAGATATTCACTGATCTAATTATGCTATTCTACTTCTCAGAAACTTTCTTCGGCTCCCCAGAGCCTCCCAAATTAAATAATACAACCCGGCCACTATAAGGCCTCGCTTACCTGTCAGGCCTAATGGATGCCATTCATCTTAAGTGAACCATACAACCCAAAGTTCCCAGGATGTATGTGAATTATCTATGGACTTTCTCATATGAAGGGTGCCTACCGCCCATCCACTTCTGCTTATCAAAATCTCACATATTCTGGAAGAGCCTCTTAAAATCCCACTTATGCCATGAAGCTGTTTCCAGTCCATCAGAAAGCTGCCTATTCTTTCTGTGACCTTCCATGTTGCTTTTGTGGCACCACCTGAAGCATCCTGTATCCCTCATCCGTGGATTCGATCCCCCACAGAGTACAGGCTCCTTCAGGTGAGAGACGTGCCATACCATACCCAGTTTGTAGTGTTAGTTCTGTCCCTATTCACACGAGGCTGTCGATAATGTTTGCTGAACTCAAATGACATCATTCTTTATTCTAGGAGAGTCACACTGAAATCACTTAAGATATATTTTAATAGAATCAAGAAAATGACCTTGGACGTTCTGCCCATACGGACCTGGTAATTTCAGGCAGAGCTGCTTTCCCAATAGCTGGGTAATAAGTTCTATATCATTTCACACTGTTTCAACTAAACGGAGATTTTTCTGAGGATCAGTGTGCAACAAGATAACACAGACTTTTAAACTTTAACTGAAGTATAATTTACACACAGAAAAGAGCACACATAAGAAGAATAAAGCTCAATGAACTTTCACAAACTGGATATACTGTATAACCAGGACCCAGTAAAACAAAACAAACAAACAAAAACAAAGGGGCGCCTGGGTGGCTCAGTCAGTCAAGCCTCTGGCTCTTGATTTCAGCTCAGGTCGTGATCTCAGGCTTGTGAGATCCAGCCCCGAGTTAGGCTCTGTGCTGGGCATGGAGCCTGCTTAAGATTCTCTCTCTCTCCCTCTCCCTCAGCCCTTCTCCCTCCCTCCCTCCCTCCCTAAAAAACAAACAAAAAAACCAACCCAATAAAACAAAACTGAAGCTCCCCGTACCCCCTTCAATCATAAGTACCTCACCCCCACCTCCGGGGATAACCACGAGCCTCACCTCTAACAGCATGCCACTCACTCTTCTTGTCTTTTTTGCTCCACTTTGTCTATGAGAGTCCGAAGACCTTGTTTTTACCCTCTGGAGCTCAAAGATCAGATTAAGTTATTTTAAGAAAAAACACCCAAACCTGCTTGGTACTGAGAAGTCCACCGTGTTGGAAGATGCAGAGGCTTTTACACTTACCTTCCCAAAAGCAGCAATAAGTCACCACCTGTTCCTCCTTTAATCCTCGACCCCACCTCAGCTGGCCACCCAGCAGTGGCGACCCGATGGGTCAGGACAGCCTCGAACACTCAGGAATGTTGGCGCACACAGAGTTGCCTGACTTCTGGCTCACTTTAAAGTTGTAACAATGCTTGGCATGTCCTCGAGAATCCAGGTTTGGGCAAGTGACAGCATTCAAAGCTCAAATCAATCAATCTTACTGCTCGTCAGCAAATCTCAGTTAAAAATGTTTGATGAGGGTAGAAGGTTGAAACTATTGTTGGGCCGCACCTTTTTATAGCCTTTTACAGCCCTAGCTCTGCAGGGTAATTAAGAGTCAGCTGCACACATCACTACCAGATGCCCATAGTTCCCTAAATTCAGAGGGAAATTTCCTCTATGAGCTGGGGAGAAGGCTGTGGGCGTCCTCCGTCCTCCACTTAACCTGGAGCCGGCCCTGCGGGTACCTGCGCTCAGTACAGCTGTTTCAGGGTGGGACCCACGGAGGACAAAGCTTCCCGGCTGACCTGGCGTCAACGTGCACGTGAACTGTGTGCATCAGGAGATGCACGTTCCAGTTTGGGCACTGACAGCAACTGGTTATGTGCTCTTAGCTAAATCAGGTCACTTCTGTAGGCTTCAACTTCCTCATCTATAAGGAGATCAAGCCAGACTACTCAGAGCTAGCACTGCAAAATTCCATGAAATTTAATCCAAGCTATCTTTACTGTGACACGTTATCATGAAATAGTCAAGACCCTGGGCTCTGGAGACAAGAGTGCTTTTGATTTCAGTCTTGACGCCACTCTTATGAGCTGTGTGACTTCAGAAAAATGACCTCGTCTTTCTGTGGCTCAGTTTCCTCTTCTGTCAAATAGAGATAGTCCTTCTTCAAAGAGTTGTGAGGAATAAATGAGACAAGGCACATAAAGTACTTAAAGAGTTCCTGGCACAGAGGATGATTTCAAAAAAAGGTTTGCTATTGTTGTCATTCTAATCTGGTTTAAAAATGTACCTGTATGTAAAAACGGAAAGGAAAACAAGCTCCACACAATGGTTATCTTTGCACGGTGGGGTTAAGGGGAGCCATTCTTCTTATTATGTTTCCGTATTTTCCAATTCAAAGAAGATAATGAACACAAATTACCATTTCGGCAGAAGAGATACTATTTTTAAAAAATGACTGCTAGCCCCTTTCAGTACGCTTGGAATTACCTGGTTATTCTTCGTGTATGAGGAAGGCAGACCACCAGCATCCTAGTGAAAAGCCATTCCTAATAACATTTTCCTTCCAGCAGCAGAAACATTTCCCCTGTCACCTCAATGTTCTGGAACAAAGGCTACAGAAAAGCCTAAGCCCTGGACGAACGTCAAAAACGGACACTGAGTCATCTCTGCAACAATGCAAGCTTCCAACCCAGCCTAAGTGAGCTCACCTTGCTCACCGGGAAGCCAGGCCCAGCTCAGTCACTGACAGTACAGGGCTGCTCGAACACTGTGCAGGCTTCCAAAGAGGGCTCTCTCCATGAGGTTGCACATTTAACCCCTAAAAGCTCCCGAGGAAAATGAACGAAAGGGAAGGATAACCCGGGCAGAGGCACACCACGCAAAACCCCACCCAAGAGAACTGGGAAAGGGAAAGCGAAGAACAGGGGTGGATGCCTGGAGGGCACAGGCTGAGGCTCCAGGGCTCACTGAGGG